TTATCCTATATATTATATATATATTATATATATATATATTATATTTATTCCTGTAGTTGTAAGTGAGAAACTGTATTGGGTAAGATGGTGAAGAGTCTAAAGGTGATGGGATTTTATGGAGAAAGAATCCAGATGTTGTAATAGAGGCAGATGTGTGTAACAGACTGTGGGGTAAAAAGCAGACACAGCAAGGCAGAGCTTAGCAAAGTTCAGAGATTCAAAATAAACCCAAGTTTATTTTGAATATTTTTAAAAATTTTAATGTAATTTAATTTAATTTTTTTTTAATTTTAAAGTTATTTCTTTTGGTCTATGGGACCAAAATGTTATATTTTGCTGTTTATATATTTATTATATTTATTTATTATATATTCAATATATAATTTTATATATCTTATTATATATAACTATAATATTATAATAAAATACATTCAATTTAATAAATAATAAAATATTATTACTAATAAAATATTATAAATAATGGTTAAAACAATAAATATAATATGTAATGAATGCAATAATATTATAAATATATGTTTATTTTTATATTATATATTTATTATATTAATATATATTTCCTTATTGTTTATATATTTATTATATTTTGGTATATATATTTATATTATATATAAATGTAATATAATAAAATATAATTAATCTAATAAGTAATAAAATATTACTAATAAAATATTTTAAATAATGGTTAAAATAATAAATATAATATGTCATAAATGTCATAATATTATAAATATTAAATATTACTAATAAAATATTTTAAATAATGGTTAAAATAATAAATATAATATGTCATAAATGTCATAATATTATAAATATTATGTTTCTTTTTATATGATATATTTATTATATTATATTTATTATATTATATAATATATTATATTATATATTATATATTATATTAAATTATATATATGTTTATAAGCTAAAATTCCTGTGCAACATCTCTGGGTATCCTCAGGAGCTGCTCTTGGGGATACATAAAAACATCTGTGATAAAAACCACTCATTGTCAGGGTTTCTGGGGTTTTTAGAGCTGATTGTTATTCTGGATTAGAACAAAAGGAGTTGGTTTGAGAGCTGCTCACTCACGTTTTGTAATGGGCTGTGTATAACACCGAGCCGTTCTCCACTACAACAGGAGACCACCTCAGCATGCTCTGGAAGTTGTAGGAATAAATCTCCACATTTTCTGGTGCTGGTAACTGGGGGGAAGTTTCTAAAGGAAGAAGAGGAATAAAAATAACTGCTGAAACATTCATGTGCACAGTAATCAAATTTCAGTCTCCAAATCCCACCCTCATATATTAAATTTTCACTGCTTTGCAGGTAAAACCTGCAAACCTTCTCCTTCTGCTCCCAGGGCTGGCACTGGGTGGGATTTGAGATCCTTCCCAACCCCAGTCAGGGTGGAATTCTCTGTGTCCATGAATCCCAGCTCTGTGGTTTTTACTCATTCCATAAAAAACATAAAGCTGAAAGTACCAAGCCCAGCACAAAACCCTAAACACCATCCAGTCCCCATGAAGGCAGAAAAATGAAGGTCCCAGAATCCCAGGATCACCAGGGCTGGAGGAGCCCTTCAGGACCACCCAGTCCCACCCGCACCACCCCAAACCCTGTCCCCAAGGGCCACATCCACACTCCTCTGGGACAATTCCAGCAACTCCAAACCTCCCTGGGCAGCTCATCCCAAGGCCTGACCGCTCTGTGAGGGAAATTTTCTTTCCCAATCTCCAATCTGAGCCTCCCCTGGTGCAATTTGAGGCCGTTCCCTCTCCTCCTGTCCCTGTCCCCTCCTGCCAGGGACTTGTGCAGAGCCACAAGGGCCCCCTGAGCCTCCTTTGCTCCAGGCTCAGC